ACAGCTGCCTTGTAGCTACAGTAGCTATAGGCTCTATAGCATAAAAATAAAGTCAATTATGAATATTGTAACTAACTATACCAACCTTCTGGTTGAATTAGATCTACACGTATGTCTGATTTTTGATTTTGATCACCATCTTGCAACTCTTTTTCAAGCTTGCATTGAACTTTTGTTTCAGCTTCAAAGAAATTTGACAAAAATAATGCATATGCATACCTTTTGTTACAGTATCTTTCTTTGATGATTTATCTATATGTACATCATTAGAAACAGATCGCATAGGTTTTTCAGCACTTTTCCTAAATCACATAAATCATTGATACACTGCATTATGTAAAGCCACCTTTCATTGTTTGAAATAGTTCCTTGTTTCTCACATAATTTCAAATATTCATGCCAGCATTGTGTAGCATTGCCACCACGGTCAGGATGAGAGAGTGTACCAAGCTCAAACTGCTTAACTTCTTCTGGACTTCCAATTGCAACAACATGAAACTTGGCCCTTGTTATGACAGTATTAAAGACATAAGGATTGAACAGGCTCTTAATATAGGAGGCATTCATTTCATCATCTCCTACTAGCTCAAACAGACTTAAAAAGATAGCTTGAAACTCGTGACCTTTTTATTTTAGAAGCAACAGTATACAACATTATACATGGATAGAGTAGCTCTCACCTTGTATCATAAAAGAAGGCTTAAAGCTAACTTTTCTCACTGTCTCATATTTGTCATAATCAAAGGCCATGTTTCTGATACGATTCAACTGAACAATTAAATTAGAAAATTATGACAAATAAAAATATACCTGCTTCCTTGTTGATGTGATAATGCAAACACCATGTCGAAGATTAAATTTGGGATTGATATGCTTCATCCTTTCCAAGTAACTTCGAACCTCTTCTAAGACAATGCATGCCTCAATCCCTTGCTGATCTGGATCATCATATTTCTTAACTAGCCTTGACTTAGCAGACACAAATTTGTAGCCAGTAGGGCCATTGCATTTCTGAAAATTTTTGTCAGTATTCAGCTCCAAATTTTCATAAAATAGGTTTGGCAAATCTATCAGTGAATTATGTGATCGGTAATTTACTGACAATTTAGTGACATAACGTGTTGCCACTGAACCAATCTCTTCATATTTCATCAACAAACGCTGCAACAAGGAAACATTGAGCCCAAATTTCTTGGCTTCTTCTCCCAGTACCAATATATTAGGGCCAACCTAATAATGTACAGTACACAAATAATTAATTTATATATAAAAGTATAAGTGCTTAATCATACCTGCTGGGTATCCCCTGCCAAAACTATTTTAGCATCTTTAGTAGCTAGAGCAAGCGGTGTGATAGCTTCAGGCTCACGGACCTGAGCTGCCTCATCGAGAAAAAGGTGTGTGAAGAATCCTTCAGGAGAGTAGAGGTGTTGGTGGAGTTTCAGAGACGTGGTATATGTAGCAATTATGATGACGTGACTCATTGTGCGTATATCAGTACTATCCTCGGCAAACTTCTCTGGTGTCATATACATGTCAGCATAAACTCCTTTATTTTCTTGTTTAGTAATTAAAATCACTTTAAAAGGAAGTGGTGTTGACGGAAAAATTTTTTTCTCAATTACACCAAAGTAAGCATTAATAAAGGTTGTAATTGATATTTCGTGGTGAGCAGAAATCAATATTCTAGTAGATTTTTTCTTACTAATGCCATTCATCATTACTTCATATGCAGCACGAGCAAGGATTCGAGTCTTACCAGTACCAAATGGACCATAAAGAATGACAGGAGGAGCAGGTTTGCCAATTGATGGAGATTCAAACGCAATCATCTCTAGAGCTTTCAACTGATGCTTTTTATCTAGCTCCATGCAACGAAAATCAGAATGTTGAGGATCAAATGTAAGGAATGGGTCACCAAAAGAAAAAACATCAGGCAACAGACACTTGAGAACGTACTCGGGAACCTTGACAACAGCATGTTGAAGGTGGTCAAAATACGAATACTTGACTATAAACTGAGCAGAGATTTTTATCTCACTCCCATCTTCAACTTTGGTGCCATTCTTTATTGCTTCAAACAAACTGTTAGATGGATGATCAGCGACTATGTACATGCGATTTTCAAGGCAACTGAAGTTGTAGGTATGTTTGAATGCTATGCATAAATGTGTTGAGCTATCTGGATGTGATAATGAGACATTATCACTTGCTTGTGTAGCGTATTCAATCTTATCATCGGTTAATTTTAAGCCAGAAATATAACCATATCTATACTTATGAAATGGATTTTGAGCAAGAAATTCAGGGACTTTTTTCTGATCATATATTGTGAGCTTGTAATCTACACCATCACACCTATCAAAAAATTATTACATCACTACATTTAGCTAATGTACATACTTTCTTGACAGCTTTTTAATATGTTCATCTTCTTCAAGCCACAGTGCGCTATAGAAATGCTCCTGATAATTACCTGGTGTCAAGTCATTTAAGTGGCTACATGATTTTAACTGTGATGATGTAGGCTGCTTCTTTCGTCTTTCGTCAAACTTTGCTTGCCATGGGACTGGTATTCTTCGTCTTTGTCTGATAACAGTGAGAGATGGTGGTAAACTCTGATCGTGAGGCTTTGACATTGGACTCTGCTTTCTGTATGATCGACTCTGCTTTTCCTCTAGCTTTGAACTATTATTCCACTTTTTATTTTTTGTTGGATTCTGACCATCAGATGATTCTATTATAAAAATTAATCACATTAATGTCACTTTCATAAGTTACCTTCTGGCTGCTTAATCCTGATTCTGAACAAATATTCTAGTATGCCATTAACAAATGGATCATACTCATTGGTTGAATCGTATAGCCCATATATTATATCTTCAAAGCGAACTTTTTTTCTAATCAAATGTTCTAATAGCTTCCTTTTTCTTTCCTGTTTGTCTTTCCCCTCCCCTTTAATATCATCTAATGTGCTTTCCTCAACTTTCATAATTTTTCCAAATTTGTACCAATCCTTTGAAATATGGCCTGCGACTTCATCAACTTCTTCTTGTTCCAGATACATTTGAAGATCTGGAACATCAAGACCTTTTGATAACAGTTTACTTTTCATTCTGGTCAGAAAATCTAAAGGAAATGACACACATAATTATACAGATGCATACTTACTTTCTTTCATTTCATATTCTAGTTGTATTTCCTGCTGCCGCTTTTCTTCCTTGTCCCGCTCTTCCTGTTCTCGCTGCACTTTCTCCAGCTCCTTTTTAATCTCAATCATATCTAAAAAATATTAATCATTGAAGTAAGTAAATATGTAAGTAACATGTACATGTACTGTAAGTGAGTTTCTATTGTAGAGTATAAAAACACACCTTTCTTCAAGCAGTCTAGTGCTTGGTCAGCAATATCAGTTCTGTCAGCATCAC